GCAGACAGGTTTTCTCACGGTGATGAAAATTCCGCTACTGCGCAGGCGCACCTTCCCAGATTCCCGCCAGGGGGCGCTCCCGCATTTACAACTGGCCCAGACCCGCCCTGCCGTCCGTTAGCGCGCTAAGGGCACAGAAGCAGCCACCGTCACCATGGCAACCAGTGACCTCTGCCCCCCCTTTTCCCACCAGCATGCCCCGCGGGCAGCCCCTGAGGCAGCATTTGGAGGGAGGACGAGAGAGGGGGGTTGGAGGGGAGAATCCAGGGCTCTAGGGGAACTAGGGTGAGTCAGAATTGTGTGGAGGTGTAGATGTCACTGCAGGGGAGTAAACACGGGCTGGGAGGAGTGATCTCCTCAGTAACAGGGCCCAGGGAGGCGAACAAGCCATAGAGAGGCAAGGGGGCGAGAGAGCCCATCATCAGCTATGGCGCCACCAGGTCAGGAAGGACTCCGAAGATACTCACCAGGGTGGACCAGCCCAACACGCGATTCCGGGGGATCACTTTGATGGCCACCTGGAGAAACGGGCGGGAGTTAAGGGGGCGGAAGATGACCCCCGGGTCCTTCCCAGTCCTGAGCCTCACCCTAGTCTTTGTGGCCCCAACCACACCACACCACGACCCCCAAAGAGCCGGGGGCTTCTCCATGGCCCGCCAAGTCCCCAGGACCAAGTTCACCTCTCCCACCGCCCTCAGCCCTCGGCCCTGAGCTCTGTTCTCAAGCCCAGAACCTCGCAGTGCAGGTTGTGAGCTCCAAATTTCTTCACACCCAAGCGCTCTATGTTTCAAATCAAGCCCCAAGACGCCCGACTGTGTTTCGGGGTCCTGTTCCTCAAGATTCCATGCTGGAGACCTTGCCCCCCAAGTCCCCCAAATCTCAGCTCTGGGTCCCCACCTTCACACACATTTACACGTCCCCTGGATCCCGGGGTCTAGAGTCCTTAGGATCCCCCGCTCCCTGTTTCATTCTTAGGCCCTCCCTAATCCCTGCCCCTCCCCCACACGCCCACCTGAGTCGCCACACACGCACTCACTCACGCGGGCGCGCGAACGCCCCCCGCAAGCCGGCTCCCGGCTCTTTGGACCCGACCTCACACATATTGTGGGATCGTTCCCAGTCAATCAGAAACCCAGCCGCGGGTCTCCCGCCCCCGCCACACGCACACCTGACCCTCCCCAGATCCTCGTGGCGGATACCTGGAGCCGGTCTGTGATGCGATGTCCTGCGAAGACTGTGCCAAAGCCCCCCTTTCCCAGCAGGGGGCCAAGTCGGTACTCGGCCTCGAACGCTTCCCGATCCTTGCCTCCTACGCAGGCAGAGGCGAGGAAGTCAGGGTGGCCGCGTGCTAAGCCCCGCTGCGACCCTCCCCCCTCCCCCCGGGTCGCCCTCCATCGCCTCTGCCCGCCCGGCCTGGTAGCGGTAAAGAAGCCTCGCTCACCTGGCGGCGGTGTGGGGGTCACGGGGGCCACCGCGAGCCCCTGAAGAGGTTTGCTCAACATGGAGGAGGCGCTGCGCAGATTGAGCCCGCTGAGCCCGCAGGGCGTCGACGCCCTGGGCAGCGAGGATGGGGAGCCAGGACTTGGGGGCGCCAGGGTGGAAGGCGGAGAAGCCGGTGGCCCAGAAGCGCCCACAGACGGCGCAATGCTCTGATTCGTCGCGCTCGCCAGCCCCAACGCTACTGAGCCGGGGCACGCGCCTCCCGAGAGAGTCGCTCAGAGCGACGGCCCCGCCCACTTGGCTTTGATCAATCCGGACGCGGCACCTGCTGTACCCCAGCCAATCGGAGCCAGTCCTCATTTGCATACCACCCTCCAGGTCTCAAGTACCCCCTTATGCAAATACGCGCCCGGATCTTCCGTGGGGGCGGGGTCTGCATGCAAATGAGGGGGCGCGCGCGAAGAGGAAACCGGTTCTGGGAATCCCTTTGCAGCAACTGCATTTGTTTTGGTTGTTGCAAGGGGTTGTTTTTATATATGTGCGTATATGTATATATAGAAAAAAAACTGAAGAAGAAAAAAAAAGCTGCACCCCCTCCGTTCCTAGGAAGTTGGTTTGCTGCTGCCTCAAGATTAGCACGGAGATAATGCCAGGCCCAGCTTCTCAGAATCTGGGCCAGTGGCTATCCAGAACCCTGTCTCTCAAGGATGCTCCTCACCAAGGACAAGGGCCCTCTAGGTTAGGCGACCCATGGCCTCTGCCCTGAAACTGAAGCCGGGGATCCTGGAAGATTCTGTTCAGCTGCCAGGGAGGGCAACCCCCTGACCACTACAACAGGAGCATGCTGGTCAAAGGCAGCATCACAGAGAGGCGGCCTGTGGGGGTGTTTTTGGGGCTAAACCCCGCCAGCTGTGAGCCCAGTCAGCAGGTCCAGAATCTGGAAGGGCGGGGGGGGGGGGTGGTTCTTGAGATGTAGGAGCAAGCCAGAGTGGTGGTGGCTTGGGGGTGTGCTCCAGGTGAGAGACACGGGCTGAGAGGTGGTAAAAAACCCTTAGTCACAAATTTGAGAAAAACAGTAGGGCCTCATGCTGCAGGAAGACAGACATGCACTCCAAAGAGACACACATGAAGGACCAAATGAGATATACACAAATACGTATCATCACATTCATGTAAACTTGTCCTAGACACACATGCAGATGTGCACTGTCACAAAGAGCTCCATCCACTGTCAGGCAGGCATGCTGCCAGAGAGTCATATCCCAGAATGACACAGATATAGTCACAGAAAGACAGGCACTCCAGAGAGATTCACGTAGACCTACATTACCATGTGACAATGACACAGAAATGTCTGTCAGACACACCACCAGAACTTGTCACAAAGGCACTGGCACCGTCAAATATGCACTGTCACATAAAAACTTGTACTGTCCCAGGAAGCCACACAAATGCTTGAGACACACATGCACTGCTGCAAAGGCAAACATATATGATACCTGTGACGGATAGATCCAGTCATAGACATGCATGTACCCACAGGCATACAGCAGTGTCACTGACATTGTTCAGAAATAGCTGCCCAGAATCCACCACAGGAACACAAATGGACATCCACCACATCAGAAAGAACCACAGATGCGCTATCACAGACAGAAACACGCAAACACTCAGTCTCAGAAACAGACACAAACTGTCATCATCTGGCACACCTAGAAGCAAGCCCTCATCACACACACAACTATAAACACTCTGTGAGATGCACATAAAGACTTGAACTCACTACAGTAACATACACAGACAACACCCAAAAAGCAAATACACACGTTACTCTCCTTTATTCACCTGACATTTATTAGGGGTCTACTGTAAGCCTATCAGGCCCTGGTGGGAGTGCAGATATTAGAGACAGGTAAGTCAGGCATCATAGCCCTTACCCAGGAAGTTGGTAGTACAGTTATTGGGGAAGGAGTAAAGACATATTTGGCCTGGCCAGTGTGGCTCAATGGATGAGTGTTGACCCATGAACCAGGAGGTCATGGGCTTTTTTTTTGTTTTTGTTTTTTTCAAAAATATATTTTATTGATTTTTTACAGGGAGGAGGGGAGAGGAATAGAGAGTTAGAAACATCGATGAGAGAGAAAACATCGATCAGCTGCCTCCTGCACACCCCCCACTGGGGATGTGCCCACAACCAAGGTACATGCCCTTGACCGGAATCGAACCTGGGACCCTTCAGTCTGCAGGCCGACGCTCTATCCACTGAGCCAAACCGGTCAGGGCAGGAGGTCATGGTTCACATGCCCGGGTTGCAGGCTTGATCCCCAGTAGGGGGCATGCAGGAGGCAGCCGATCAATGAGTCTCTCTCATCATTGATGTTTCTATCTCCCTCTCCCTTCCTCTCTGTGAAATCAATAAAAAACGTATTTAAAAAAGACGTATTTGTAGATAGATGGGAGAATGTGGATGAGGTCACACAGGGCTTCTCAGAAGGAGACCCTCTGCACATCTTGAAAGACAAGGCCTAGGGCTCGGGACAGGGGAAGGGCAAATTCTACACATAGGCCAAGATAACTGGAGGCAAAAAGAAGTAGGCCGGGGCAAATGGTGCTTACATTTCAACAGTAGAATAAATATCTACTAATATTTGAGCTTTTGGAATGTGCTAGGCACTGTGCCATCATTCATTATGTTGACCATATGCATTCTCTCTCAATGCTCACAACCAGAGTGTGAGATAGTAGACATTAATCACCCCTGTTGTACAAATGGGCCACTTGAAACTAAGAGCCTGTGATATGACCAAGGCCAAATGGCAAGAAAAAGCTGAGGAAGGTTTGAAATCAACTCTCCAGCATACACACGTTTGACCAATGATTTCAGACAGCCACTCAGCCAGCCACACCCTCGCCTGTAGAGTTGGGCACGCATCCTTACACAGGGGCCCCATTATTGAGGCACAGCAAAAAAGACACTTGACAAAACCTGGGGCCAGCCATCCTTCTCTGCCTTGGCTTTACCCCTAGGAAGATCGGGACACAGAAATGTCAGAGAACTGGGGGACATGATAAATAAAAAAGGGTTTAGCCATTCCTCAGCTTCTAAAACCCAGTGGAGGAGGTCCATCTGGTCCCTTCCACTGAACTCATGTGAAGCATCTACTGTACTTCCCAAAGTGTTTCCTCATCAAACGATCAGAAGAGCAAATATTTATGGCGAAAGAGGCAGGCAGAGAAGTTGGAAGTTCAGTCCCTGCCCTCAGCTCAGTCCTCTGCTCCCATCAAACCCCAGGACATAAGGTGGGCAGGCTACATCCTGTGCCAGTGCTGAGGCAGGGGCCACCGGCAAGGATGGAGCTTTCTTGGTGGTAACAGGTCCAGAGGTGGATTAGTAAGCAGTGAGTCAAATATGAACAAACTCGGCCCCAGAGAGATCCTCCTGGAGAGCACGCAGCCCTCAGAGGTCAAGCTGAAGCCTGTACCCTCGCTGTCTCTGTCCAGAGACCACCCCCCGCCACCACACACACACTCTGCCCCACACAGAATAGAGGCGCTCCAGGGAAACTGACATTTGGTTTTATTGTGCCAAGGACATTACAGATGGCGGATCTTGTCAACACCTGCAGGGGACAAGTGCCCCATCTGCCAAGGCTGCTCCCACTCCCCACACTCAAATCCTGAGTGGCGGCTATAATCCTCAAAGGTGCCCCCACCCCAAGATTACAGATACTGGTGGTGATGGAAGCAATAGGAATGCAGTGAGGTCAGAGTTTCATTGTCCGAAGCCCACAGGACACCTGCTACCCTTGGCCCCCTACTCCGCCCTGGCTCATACTCTAGACCCTGCCCATCTCCACAGAGCTGGAGGCCAGAGACAGCAGCACGTCTTTGTGCCCCCTTGGGCCCCCCTGCCTGCCTGCCCCCAAACCAGAGAGATGCCACCTTTATAGAGTCAAAGCTGTTATCTATGTCATTTTTGATTGGTTAATTTTATAAGATAAAAGTACATTTTAATAAAGAAAAAAATTCAACATTGAAGGCTCAGACATTCTTAGGGTTCTGGGAAGGGGAATCCCCCACTTCTTCCTCCCACTTCCCTGACATAGTTGTAGAGGTGGGGTAACAAGGTTTTCTTAACTTGGGAGGAATGGGGGTCAGGGAGGCTTTCTTTTGTCTGAATGTCTCTTCTCAGGGGCTGCCTGGCTGCCAGTTGCTTTGTCTCTGTGCCTCTCGCCTACCTTCGGCACCCTTGCCCGAGTCCCCTGTGGATTGCAGGGATGGTGCTGTGCAGGGGGCAACAGGGCACGTCAGCTGGGGAAGAGACAGATGATGGTGGTGGTGGCAGCGATGAGAGGGGGTGCAGGGATGGACCGGCAAGAGGGAGGTGGGGAGGAGGAAAAGAAGGAAAGCAAGGGAAGGAGGAAGACGGCAAGAAGGAAGAAAGCCAAAGGTGAGGCGGCACCGGAGGGCAGGAGTGGTGGGGTTGGGAGACGGTCTCCAGTCTCTGGGTCTCCATCAACTCTTGTCTGGGGGAGGATCTCTGTGCACTTTGTTTTTCTTCATACTGTCTAGGTATTCTTGTTGGGATACTGCCAGCACCGAAGCCAGGATCTCATCATCATCCCAGTCGTTCAGACCTGTTGGGCAAGAAGAAGGGAAAAAGAATGACGGAGCCTGTCTTTTCTTCGCCATTCACTGACCCCTGGCTCTGCAAAGATCCCATCCAGGGCCCTCTAACTCCTATTAGAAGGCTCCTCTGGGCCTATGAAACCCATTTAGAACCCCTCTGGGACAGATCCCTTGGGCCTAAAGGATTCCCTTTTTTTGGGGAGATGGCCAGAGGGTCCAGAGCCACTCCACAGAGACATACTGCTTCTTCCATCTCTCCCCAGCTCCCGGCTGGGCCCTGGTTCCTAGACAAAGGAGGCTTACCAAAGGCAGAGGGGGACATCTGCTGAATGAGGGCCCGGCACTCCAGAGCAGGGTAGAGGGACACGAGGGGGGAAGTCGCTGGGTCGGCCCCTGTTGAGAACTGGCTGCTTGTACCTGGGGCAGATGGACAGTCAGAGACAGGGCCCAGGACCCAGGTGGCACCTCCTAAGCCCTGCATGCTCCCTGTCAGCAAGTCACTGACCTGGTGCACAGGGTGAAGGAGGTTTGGCAAGAGCTAAGACAGTGCCTGGGGAAGGGGGCTTCATGCCCAGCTCGGCATGCAGTTCAGGGTGCTCGGGTGACCGCTGCCGCGGGGACCGGCTAGTCCACTCCTCCAGTCCACTGGAGGCGGCTGCTGTGGCGGAAGTGCACGTGGCACTGGCTTTCCGGGGCTGCTGTGGGGAAGGAGTAAGAGGTAAGAACCTACAATAGCCTCAACGTTCCTCTGCCCCATCCCCGCAATAGTGGCTGTGACACAGCTTCTACATAGGTCACCACCACTCCCAGTCACACCATGGACCAAAGGATGAAGGTAAGCTCCTTAAGCCTCCTCACACCCTCACAGCCAACTGATAGGAAACCTCCACCTTCAAAATAGATCCCGAGTGCCTCCCAACTCTCCCCCTCCCCCTTGCCTGCGCCATCAGTGGCAACCTGAACTACTGTAGCAGCCTCCTCCTCACTGGTCCCCTGTTCTACCCTTGCCACCCAGACTGAGTTCTGCAACCTGTTAAACCCTAAGTCAGATCCTATTCCGCCTTTGCTCACAACCCTGCAATGAATCTGCTTCATGCAGAATGAAGCCAAAGTCCTCATCACGGCCCACAGGTCCCTTCCTAATCTGGCGCCACTGCCTCTCTGACTTCTGTTCCACCACACTGGCCTCAGGCCCACACTGGCCTCAGGCCGCTCCTGAATCCCAGCAGGGGTGTGCTACCTCAGGGCCTTTGCTCTAGCTGGTCCTCTCTCTGCTCCGGCACATGCATTTAGCTACCTCCCTCACCTATGGCTAGTTTTTGCTCAAATCTCACGTGTTCTGAGACCCACCATGCCCACACTATTTAATACTGTGAACTCCCAGCCCCACTTATTCCCTTTACTCTTCTCTGTTTTTTTTTCCCATCCATACTACCTCTAAACCAATGTACTCATTATGTTTACTGTTTATTTTGTTCCACTCTTGCAAAAATGCAAGCATCACAAGGACAGGGATCTGGGCCTGCCTGGCTCACCAATGTACCTCTGTACATAGAACAGTACGGGCATAGACCTACAATAAATATTTGCTGAACAACTGAATCAGTGCTTGCCAACATCTACAATCATGCTAAACTTGTAATTCCTCAAATGTCTATATATCCTGTCCCATCCCTGCCCTAAAATTTTCAACCCTCCTGTGGGAATACTAACTAGAGCCCCCATCTCCACTGGTCTCCCACCCACGGTCAAGGGCCCCACTGATGCCTCTGTCTCCCTCAATAGACGGGACCACTGAGGGCGGAGCAGGCTAGACCTGATTTCATATTCTCAGCACAGAGCCTGGCACACAAGGATATTCGACAAAAGCTTGTCCCTCTGAAACTATCCATCCATCCTGCATGTCACCACCAGTGACTGCGCGCACGTGCATGTTCTCTCTCTCTCTCTCTCTCTCTCTCTCTCTCTCTCTCTCTCTCTCTCTCTCTCTCTCTCTCTCATTCCTTAAGAGCTTGTTCTGCACAGGTGTTGAGAGTTCTAAGGCACAATGCCAAGACTAAGGCCAAGATGAGGTACAAATAGGGTTGGGAGCTTCCTTCTCTCCCAGATGTCAAAACTGCTTAATTGTTCTGCCTGTTTGGGGCAGAACTGGGGAAACATGGGTTCTTGGCCAGGCCAGTGGCAGCCTAGGACCTACCTGGCTGGAGCTGCGGACCTGGCGGGCCTGTTTTTCCTGATCTCGCAGCCATTGCAGGTAGGATTCTCGAGCCACCTGCTCTTCAATAGCCTCATTTGTGGCCTCCCAGTCTGTGGCTCGCTTCTTGTCTTCCAGCATCTGCTGTTCGATCCATGATTCCTCTGATGTCTTTATGGCACTCTTCATCAGGGACTGCTCTGCAAACTGCAAAGGTGGGAGGAACAAGGACATGGGGTAACACTCTGAGCTCTGGCCAACAGCTGGATCTGGCTCAGGGAGGTAGGCCCACAGGCCCAGAAAGAGGAGACAGGAAGGCAAGTACTCTTACTAAGCACCCCCCTGGGCAGGCTGCCTATTCATCAGGGACTGGGGAAAAGCAGGCTTGGGTGGTGGGACTAGTAGTTCCAGACTCCTACACTCAGAAGCCCTGTTCCCAACCCCAAGACAACTCAAGTGAAGTACTAAGTCTGGAGCAACCAGGTGCCCTCCAGCCTAGGCTGGAGTTTAAAGAAGCCTTACCCAGTGATGATAGTTTCACAATGTTGAGGCCTTCCTCATCTATGCTCAGATGGCACAAGAAGAAAAGATCACCTGAGAAGTTAGCTGTATGTGCACAGGGTGGAGGGAGTAGTCAGGTATTTAAGGGGACGAGTAGTATTAGCATGATGTGAGGTGCTATGAGTTGTGGGGCACTGTATGAGTGCACTTTGTTAGACTGTGAGATACAACTGCATTTTAAAAACCAAAATAATAAAAAATATCAGAGCATATCCCAGGGATTAAATTAAATGTGAGTACTGTCCCGCAAAATTCTAACATTATTTTAATGGACAAATATTGCACACCAATGTGTGTACGCACAAAGTAATGATATAAAATATAATTTTTACCTATGGATAATAGTCCAAAAAGTATCTAAAACTCTATTAGAATAAGACAATTTAAAAATGGTCAAAAAAATCTCAACACAATTTTATATGCACATGCAAAGATGCTCAATACCATTTGTCATTAGAAAACTGAAAATTAAAACAAAGCAGTACCTATCAGCTGGTAGCTTCATACAGATATGAGTAGTTATACATAGAAATATTTCTGGATATGTGTATACACACAGGTTAGTATACACATATATCTCCTTACTCAGCCAGCTGAAAGGGCCTAAAAGGAAGGACACCCCAGTACCAAGGAGCACACTCAGCACCCAGATCGTGGCTTCTAATAACATTCTAATAAATGGAACCAAGGAGAAATGGCTGGTTCTAAGACCAGGGAAGGAAACATACAAGCTGAGCCTAGAACACTTTTAGTACCAGAAAGTTAGGAAGTGCTAAAAAACCCCCAAAAACAACAACAAAAAGGACAAAAAAAACACAAAACATACACACACCACCACCACCACAATGATGGGAGTATGTCAAAGAGACACTAAGAGAGCTTCCGATAGCCAAAACTAAAACAATTTGAGCATCAAAATAAAAATATCATTGGATTATAACCCAAAGTATAAAATAAATATCTGAGCCAATACTGATATAAACAAAGGATTGAATAAATGGAGGACAAGAGACAAATCTCCCTTGCAAGAATTCCAAATAATTTATGTGAATATACTGCCCTCAAGGAGATGGAGCATAACAGCCACTTCTTTTTTTTTTCTTTAAAAAATATTTTTAATTTATTGATTTTAGTGAGAGAGGGAGAGAGAAACATCGATTTGTTGCTCCACTTATTTATGCATTCATTGGTTGACTCCTGTAGGTGCCCTGAACGGGGATCAAACGTGCAACCTTGGCATATCAGGCAGATAACCAACTGAGCTGGCTGGCCAGGGCAATACCAACTTAAGTGTGGTTTGCATACAATGACTTCCTTCCAAACAGTACAATGTGGAAAAGGGAGTGAAGGAGGTGGAGGAGTGATATTAGTGGAGAAAACTTAACAAACACTACTTCTGCCAGGTGATCAAAGGCAGCAACAAATCACAAATCATGTTCACAGTACATACTGTTGATATGATGTGATGAGAATGGCACTTTACTATTGTGATCTTCCTTCCTACAACCCGTAACCCCAGTCTAATCATGAGAAAAACAGCAAATTCCAAAAGAGAAACATCCTACAGTATACCTGACCAGTACTCCTCAAAACGGTCAAGGCCATCAAAAACATGAAAGTGTGAGAAATCGTCACAGACAAAGGAGCCTAAAGAGACATGATGACTTTAGTTAATAATGTGCCAATATTGGTTCATATATTGTAACAAATGAATCACAGTCATGATAGGTTAGTAACAAAACTGTGTGCGGGACAGGACGGAGGATGGATGCAGGGAACTCTGAACTATCTTTCTTAGTTTTTCTGTAAACTTAAGGCATTCATATTTTTTTAAAAAGGAAAAAAAAGCGATCAAGCAAAAAAATCTTAAATGTAGTGTTATGTGAAACAAGAGACTGAAAAAACTATATACAGTATGATTCCAATTAGATGACATTCTAGAAAAGGTGCAAGGATAGAGTCTGTAAACAGATCGAAAAAAAAAAAAAAAAACCACAAGAAAATCTAGAGAAACTGTCACAGCCAAGAGGAGCCAAAGGAGACATGACAACAACTAAATGTAATATGATCCTGGATGGGATCCTAGAACAGATAAGATCATTAGGGGAAAACTGAGGTATTTTGTATAAAGTATGGTCTTTAGTTAATATATCAATATTGGCTCATTAACTGTGACACATGTACTATGCTAATAAGATGTTAATTATAGTTAGGTATATGGGAATTCTCTAAGCGTAATAATTCTGCTAAAATCTAAAAGTGTTCTAAAATTAAAAGTTTATTTAAAAACCAAAACAAAAAAAACCCTAATGTTGGAGGGTGTGTTGGTGTTAGGGTGTGTGTTTCCTAAAATGAGGCAGGAGCACTTTCTGTTTGTAGGAAGTGAAACTTGAATAGAAGATATCAAAATCCCCAGCAGGCGAATATTTATGAAAGAGAATGAGAATCTGCCAGTGTGTGCTGGGAAAGTGTACTGCCACCATCTGAGCACCTACTAGGCACCAGGCCCAGTGCTAGGCGTTGTCTGAATCAGCCAAGCTGCCAGCCCAAATTACTTGTGAATCCTGCCCTAGGTCCCACAGCCAGTTAAGTGTTGGGACCAGGCCTGAACTCTAAGTCTCTGTAACCACAGATGTCTATAACTGCTGAGTTTCAGAGGAGGATCCATGTGGGGACCAAGACACCCAGCCCCAGCCCTGGTTCATGGTTCCCAATATGACACCATATCCCAAAATGCCAACCCTCCATAGGCACAAAGATGGGTGAGCCAGCTCAGACAGATAAACTGAGACCACAGAATGAGCCCTGAGAGATCCCCTTGGGGGACTCCCTGATTTCAGAGGTAAGACCTCAGAGGCAACTCAAAGAGGGGACAGGACATTTTTGTGGGCTAGGATAAAACTGAGACCCAAACAAAGGTTTCTGGCCTCTAAATCCAACAGCCATCTTGGGCATGGTGACATGCTTACCCCCGGTTTGAAAGATGGCAGGCCCAGCCCTACACCAATGGTGGCCTTGTTAGGATTCACCACTGAATTGTAGTGGATATTCCGATGATAGCTGACACGGATGGGTTCGTCCTCATTTTGATGGATCCCATGGAATGTGTTGATGGGTTCTGCAGAAAAGAGAAGGAAGTAGCATCCACAGTGGGTGGGGCAGGGCAGGGCAGGCTCAGACCAGGTGCTGTCAGTCGCTCACCTACCCACCACAGAAGTACCTGTGCTATACTGATACACCTCCACAGGCCTGTTGTACATCTCCGCCATGGCCTGCATCTCAATGTGGTTGCCATGGCAGTTGTTTTTCCGTTTCCGGTTGATGTAGGTGGTGAAGTCCTCTGTGACATAGTTAGAGAAGTAGTCCGCATTCTTCATCTGCACAACAGATCAGAGGGTCGAGGTCAGTGTGGGGAGGGGATCCTCCCACTCTGCCCCTACCCCAAGGTCTCTACAAAGTCTCACCAGATAGTCCATGCAGTGCTTTCGTACAACCTCATGCATGTCCTGGTCTCCATACACCTGGTCAGCTGTGGAGGCAGAAGAAAGGAGAGGCTGGGATTAGAACTGGCACCAGAGAAGAGTTCTAAGTCACAGAACATCCTTGGGGTGAAGGGCTCAGGGCCAGGAATACTTCCTTTCCTACCCCAGGGCCTGGAGAGTTCTTGGCCTTGTGGGCTGGAACGGAATCATGGAGAAAAAGGCAAACAGGGACAGTTTTGAACAAGAGTACAGGTGAGAGGGACACAACCACAGGCCTCTCATGCAGATGACTTTGTCTAGGTCTTGGATGGCTACTCAGACAAGTCAACAAACATTTTAAGTCCCATAAGTGGCCCGAAGCACTATCGATTCCATACCCCCACCTTTGCTCTTCACATGAGGAAACTGAGGCTCAGGGAGAGTTTGTGGCTTGACCAAGTTCACACAGAAAGTCAATGTGTGACCAATTCAAGTCTAGAATTCAGTGTACCTAACTTCCTGGAGTCAGCATGGCCTTTGTAGGTTGAAAAAAAAAAAAAAAGGAAAACAGCTGGGCTCTAAGCCCAGTTCTGCCAAGTGCTAGTGCTAAATGACCAGAGGCAAGTGACCCAAGTGTACTGAGCCTCAACCTGCCTCACGTGTAAAACAGGAACAAGCTGGATAACTCCCTGGCAGGCCTTCTTGTGAGATTAATGAGATAATGGGTGTAACGTGACCAGCACTGGTTTTGAGACGGAGCAGTCACTCAGTAAATCAGAGTCCCCTTCCCCAGGGCCTAAATGTGCGGTACTATGAAGGTGACAGAGCTTAGTAAAACCCTGCCTCTGCCCACAAGAAGTACAGAGTCTAGTAAGAGAGATAAGATACATATGCACCTAACTAAGGGCAGCCTGTGGCCCAAATGGTTCAGGCATCATGGAGTTTTAGTCAAATTAAGACACAGGCTCCCCTCTGCCTGACTTGAGAATCTTCACACATTCCTTCCATCCTGCTGGACTGCCTACTTATCCAACACCAATATGTTCTTTAATAGTTCCCCACCCTCCTGGACACCTCTATCACCAGGTTTATCAAACGTGTACAGAAGTCATCTGCCTGATCACACTGGGCTTCCTACTGAGGGCAATTCACATCCAAGTCTATCCCAGCTCAGGGCCCAGTACAGTGCAGGAAACTGGGAAATTCGCTAAGTGCATGAACAAACTCAGGGAGCCAGTGAGTCTTCTCCCTGGGAAATTAAGGTGGGCTTGAAGATAAGGCCCACATTACATCCACTGACTAAGATGAAGAGGGAATTTTCCTTTGTCTCCCCAGAGGACCATTGCTCTGATGGGATCTCCCTGGGGCAGGGGCAGAATTCTTCCATGGGAGCAGGGGCAGAATTCTTCCATGACAGCCAGTCTACCTCAGTGAAGAATTGCCAGAAGAATGCCTTCGCTGCCCTCCCCTGTCCTCCCTGGAGGGTTTGTGAGATAAGGAGAGAAAGGCTGCTCTGAGATAGAATAGGGGCCCATGCCTGTTCTCAAGTCTTCCTGGAGGTGTGCAAGGACCTGAGGGTGAGGGGGAGCATGGGGCGTGAAGGCGGGAAGGGATAGCCCCATCACTGATGTAAACAAGGATGTGGGTTCTGTGGCTACAACTCGGCCCCGCCCCCCAGTGGCACTTCCAGCAAGTCACATGCCCTGTGCACAGGCTGGGGGCCCCCTGCTGCTGCCTTTCTTAGAAGCCAGTACCACAGAGCCCACTGCGGCTGCCTGCCTGCCAGAGCTGCTTGACAAGCTATTTCTGTAGAATGGGCCTGGGTGCGGAGGAGGCAGTGCTGTGGGCAGCTGCAGTAAACAGGAACTGAGATGGGAGTGAAGGGGTTAAATGGAGACTGGCCTGCCAGGCTCAGGGAGAGGGCTGAGCTGTTTCTGGGGAAGGGTCAATCGGCATTTCCCATTTCTGGGCCTAAGAGATACATCGACCTGAGCTACATGCTGGATGCAAGAAAACAGAGGAACGAGGGAGACGTGGGACAGGGAAGGGAGTTGGGGGGAGAACCCCTTGAGGGTCCCCACATTTCCCTGCCACTGACCCCTTTGCCTTGGCAGTAAGGCTCTGCTGCCTCCTAGCTGTGTGGTACTGGACAAGGCCCTTAAACTCTCTGGGCTGCAGTGGCCTCATCCATAGGTGGAGAGAGTCACTCCTCTTCCTCTCATGGGAGCTGTAAAGACTACAGGGGATGGTTTGCCAAACGTCTGAGGCATAGTAGGTGTTCAAGAGACGGGGCTCCGTTTGTCATGAGGCAGATGATGACGCCTTCAGGTAGCTAGCTACCCACAAAGTCAGCTAGAATGTCACCGGAACCACTTATTAAGCCCTTCCTCATTTCTGTTGTACTTCCTCAGCCAGAGGAAAGCCCCAAACCCAGAGTCTAGGCTGCCCTACGTGTATGCAGGACTGGCACGACCTTTATGACGCCAAAGGGCCACAGACCCACCTTCTGTAATCGTACTGTAAATCTTTAGTAACCAAATTAATGTCAAATCAATAGTATAGGCTTCACATAACAGGGTCCTTAAATGTGGGCAAAGTATGACCTTCTCTACTTAGCAGTCACATGCAAAATATGACCTTTTCTCCTCGATCCTAAGATGCATTGATAGGTGACATAATACATGTATTTAATCATAGCTGCAGGGGGGGAATGACCAAACTCACTGATTATAAGATGCACCCTGGTTTAGGGATCATTACTGTGGAAGAAAATATGCTCCTCAGGACCAAGGACACAAAGCAATAGTACCTCCCCAACAAGGGAGAGTAGAAGGATCTTTTCGATGATATGAGGTGGGAAAAATACCCAGAGTTGCCCAAGAACACAGGAAGTCCTCACTGAGGAGGCTCTTGTCTGACTTTGCTAGTCCCGCCCTTGTCCTCCTGAAAGCCTTCCTCCTCCCAGAAGGTTGGCACAGGGGCTAGGGGCTGGGCTGGACTTCCCTGTGGGGGCCAAGGTGGGAGAAAGGGCCCAATGGACTTGCAGAGGTAGGGGAATTCAGAGAACTTGTTTTGATAGAAACCGAAACTCCCCCTCTTGCTGACGCTGCATTTGCGGGCAGTCCGCACCTGCTCTCCCCTCCCAGAGTCCAGCTGGAAGAGGGTTCCCCACTACCTCACCTCTGTCCCCAACCCAAACAGAACCCAGAAACCCTCAATACAGCACTGTAATTGGTTCCCTCAAAGCCTTTTTTACATTCCAACTCATTCTATCCTCACCCCCCAAAATCTGACTTTACACAGGGGGGATACTGAGGTACAGAAATGTGGCACAGCTGGCCCAAGGTCACACATTTGGGAGGGTGAAGGGGAGGCCAGGCTCTCAAGGACGGACTTCAAGCACTGACACCCAAGATGACATTACTACCACTCCAATCCCGCTATCACCTTAACCATCTGACTCAGAGGCCAGGCCTGATTCTGTCTACCTCAGTTTCCCCACCAGCACAAGCAGGAATCAGCTGGAAAGGCCTGGGAATGGGCAGAGATTACAAATATCAGGGGTTGTACCCCTCACTAAGGCCACAGAGGTCGGCATGAACCTCACCTCCTCAGAACCCCACCCCCCCTTCTGTCCCCTCTCTGAGCATACAGTCACCAGCCGAGAAATGTACATGCGCACATACACACAGCCGGCAGATCCTGCCAAAGATGTTCCCCGAGGCCAAATTCCCACACAACAACCCTTGCAACTACAGACAACTATCATATTCCACAAGCAGATGCCCTTGTCACCAAGATGCTGGACAAGATGCAAGGCTGTGCAAACTGAGGACCCTGCCCCCTCCTTCCTAGCCTTTGCCAAGGGTTGGGGGGGGGGGAGGGGAGAAGAGCCAATAGCATCAACGGACTTGCCTCAACCTCCCTCCACTGCTGCAGAAGGTCTCTAAACCTCCTCAGGTTCCCTAAAATGTAGTCGAGTAGTTACGTGGAGAAGCAAGACAGGAGAGCCTGGACTATCTAAAGGAGCTTACGCACAGGGCCCTCCCATTGGTTTTAGAGGCACCTGAGAAGTGCCTCCCTGCCAGGCTACTGCCTGCCTGCCTGCTGCCTGCTAAGAGAGCCCCAGCAAGTTCCGCTGAGAACAGAAAAGGAAGCTTGGTGTCTGCAGGAAATCTAAAAACAAACCACACAAATGTGTACACACAGCAGCACAGGGAGACAGGGACCTGGTTTGTTCCCACTTCCTCCTGGCCCAGTGGCAACCCCGGCCCCACTGAGGAGATGAGTCGGGGAAAAAGCCTCGCCTGTCAAGCAGCTGTGGTGCACACCTGGACAGTGGCTCCAACTACCTCAAAGACCAAAGACTCAGTGGGGAGACAGCGGAACCCTAGCCTCTCAATAGCCTGGTCTCTGGGATGCCTGCTCTTCTACTCAAGGACTCCCATGGCAAAGATGGAAAGATTGATGGAGGCAGGACAAAGACCAACGGAAGCTGGCATGGCCTGGTTCTTCAACCTCAAACACCAATGGTCTGACACCTGCCTGTGTGACCTAGATAATAGGGCTCTGACTTTTTCTTGAGGTCCCAGTTTGTCCACTTATAAAACAGTCTACACTGATCTAAGATCCATCCCTCCAATGCTGATGGCCCATGTTCCAACACAGAAAGGCCCAGAGGAGTGGGCCTGGCTAATGTTTCTGGGCCTCATTGCTGTAACCTCCCCCCCACCCCCATCTGCTTCTCCATGGCCCACGCAGACACACACACTGTGGCCTCCACTTTGCCCACAGAGGCCAGGGCCAGAGGTTTTGCTGAGTCAAAGCATATGCGGAGAGGGAAGGAGGAGAGATGCAGACTCACGTTTCCAGGAGGAGGTTATCTGAGCATAGCAGGGGCAGGGTGGACCACAGGATACCTCTGGAACTCAGGCTCCCACTTCCATTCCACCCAAGCCTTCGCTGATGCTCACAAGTCCCCAGTACGGGTGGTGGGAGAGAACTGGGCACAAGTAGTGGATAGTGGTTCACACTGGGGACACCCAGACCTCAGAGGCAAAACAGAGGGTAGAAAGCCACCTGCTTCAGGATTCCCAACAGTACAGAGCCACAGGCTCCGCGTTGGAGGAAGTCAGGCCCAGAGAGATCAAGGAATACAGCTGAGGTCACCCAGCCAGTTGAGAGATAAACTAAAAAGCTAGGGCTTTCCTAGGGCCATGGAAAGAATGTGTCCTTTGGCATCTCTGGGTTCCCATGCCAGCTCTGCCATTAATGACCTGAGCATGTCATTTCCCTTTCTTGAGCCTCAATCTTCCCAACTGTCTCATGGGATAATAATCCCAACTTTACAGATGAACCTGAAGCATCCAGCTTAATGCCTAGCAAAAAGTCAAGGTCAAGGAGTGACAGTGTCCCCTAGGTCTGCAATCCCCACTCCAACTCCCACCCTCAGTTATGTGCTCCTTCAACTGTTCAATGTGTGGCAGGAAGTTAGAATCTGCAGCCTTCTCACCAGAGCCCAGAGCAATTGCCACCTGTCCCTGTCCAAGCTAGGCTGGAAGCAGAGAGGCAGCAGAAAGCCAGAGGGCAAAGTCTCCTTCCCACGCACAGGTCTGGTCTGCACAGGTCGCGTGCACTCTGCCCCAGGGAAAATTCCATACGAGGCCTAAAGACCCAGGGGCCATGTACTTCAGAGGACAGACTGCGGGGCTTCTGAGGTTTTATGGAAAAAAGCCAAGGGCAGCTCAGTCAGGGGAAATGTATAGCCATAGTGCTGATAAGGAAAGGCCTTCAACCTGCCATGGTCAGCGCTTCCTGTAAGCTCGGGCCTCTTACTGGAAGGCCCCAACAGGGGGAAGGGTCAGAGGATGTGTGGGGAAAACAGCTAAATGGACACATGTGCAAATATTGCTCTTCATATGGGTTACTGCACAAGCCAGGTTATCGCTAGCGCCAAGGTCTGCCTCAAAGACCGTTCAAGACCCAGCTGCCCAGCTGCATTCTCTGCCCTTCACTCCACCAGAAGCCCTGCTTACCCAGCAACCAGCCTGAGGTCTCAGAACAGGCCCCCAGCTATTCTTTCTTTGGTCCAATGACTCCAAACCTAAACTCTTTCTCTAGGAAACATCCCAGGGAGAACACAGACTTAAACGCCAGGGCTGGAGGTTGGGATTTTCCAGCCCAGCAGAGGCCACTGCCCAAACCTCCTCTGTTTAGTAGACAGGGGGAGACGACCCCTGAACCCACCTAAACTTCTTTCTTTCACCCACTCAACAAACACCTGTGACTCTGAGGCACCACTGAGAATAGCATTCAGGCTTTATCAGTGCTACTGTTCCATGAGGGGCTATTATGCTCTCAGGCACCAAAGCGATGTACTGAAGTCATCTCATTTAACTGTTACTAGGTTGTAACAAGCTCAGGATAAAAAAGCTGCTTGCCCAAGGTCACACGAACAACCAGTGGCACAGCCTGGAGTGGAGCCTGGGTCAGCCAGCCCAGGCCACCAGCAAGCATGGGGGAAGAGGGTGCATCCAGAAAGGATTGAAGGAGCCCTTCAGAATCAATACTACTTCACAGATGGGACGATGAAAGTTCTGAGTGAGGGCAGAACAAGAAGACAGGGCTTCTGGCTACCAGCTCAAATCTCCTATTGAGGGCACTTTTTATGGAAGACATAGGAACCCCAAAGTGAGAATGGGATCATACTCCCCGTTTCCCCTGGACACTAGCACAGGACCTCATGACTGCTTGTTGGGCTTAAAGTGGAGAGTAAATGGTATTAAGGAATTATTAATTTTGTTAGGTATGATAATGGCATTTTGGTTATGTTGAAAGAGAGGGGGAAAGGGAGGGAGGGAGAGGGAGAAAGAGAGAGAAAGAAAGAAACCAGGACTTTATCTGTCAGAGAAATATACAGAAATATTTATGAATGAAATAACCCAATGTTGGGGTTTTGCTTTAAAAACTCATTTCAGCCCTGGCTGGTGTGGCTGACTTGGTTGAGCATTGTCCCATGCACTGAAAGGTCACCAGTTCAATTCCCAATCAGGGCGCATGCCCAGGTTGCCGGCTAGATTCCCAGTAGGGGGTGTGCAGGAGGCAGCCAATCAATATTTCTCTCTCACATTGATCCTTTTCTCTCTCTCTCCCTTTCTTTCTCTCTAAAATAAATAAAAACTTATTACAAAAAATATTCGTTTCACCTTGGCCAGTGTTCTCAGTGGTTAGATCATCAACCCTTACACCAAAGGGTCACAGGCTGGATTCCAGTTAAGGGCATGTAACCTGGATTGTGGATTTGCCCCGGTCCGGAGAGTGTGCAGGAGGCAACCTGTTGATTTGTCTCTCTCACATTCATGTTTTTCTTTCTCTCTCTCTCTCCCTCCCTTCCACTCTCTCTGAAAAAGCAATGGAAAAAAATATCCTCAGGTGAAGATTAACAACAACAAAAAAGACTTGTTTCAGCTCTGGCCTGGTAGCTCAGTTGGTTAGAGCGTCATCCCAATATGCCAAGTTTGAGGTTTAATCCCCGGTCAGGGCTCATACAAGAATCAACCAACGAATATATAAATAAGTAGAACAACAAATTACTGTTTCTCTCTGTCTCTCAATCAATCAATTAAAAAAATTTTTTTAAAGACTCATTTCAAGAGAGTAAGAAAGAGTGGGCAGGGTAGTGATGAAACGGGGCTGGCCATGTGTTGATGCCTATTTGAAGGTGAATGATGGGTACATGAGGGTTTACTATTGTCTCTACTTTTGTGTAAGTTAAAAAAAAAAGTCTATGATCCCAAGGTGAGAGTAGTATGCTGTGGTTAAGAGCCCTCAGACGAACCTTTAGCCCTAAGACTAACTTACCATGTACTACCTGACCCTGGGCAAGCCATTCTCCATCTCTGAGCTGCTTTTCTCATCTGACAAATGGAAGCAATGGTCCCGACACTTACCCAGCTTAGGGAAGAACTGCAAGAGTTTCCTGTAGTGCCTGGCAGAGCAATCTGTCCCTAATGTTATTTTCCTTGTCACTATTGTTGCTGCTATTATTACTCTCACACCACCACACTGCCTCATGACGAAGGACTAGAGGCCAGATACTAACTTGAGACTGGGGCCTGGAGTCCATAAAAGACCAGTTAACTCTGTCCCCAACCGTCTCAGGGGTTACTCCTGACAACTGGGACACTCAGGGGCAGCCCTAGGCCCTTGAAGGCTGAGGCAGAGACTCACCTACAGCCCGGAAGAGACAGGCGCCGTCCTCCTTCATTTGCTTGATGATGAAGCCCTTCTTGTCTCGCAGGGCCTTTTCAAACCAGTGTTCCTGCTGCAGGGAAGAGGTGTGGGGGTCAGCAACAGGAAAGGCCTGTACCCCCTCCCCAGAGCTCTGCCCTCGAGCTCCTGAGGGGCCCAGCTGATTGGCTGAGAGGACACTGGACAGGGTCAAGTTCTCAGCCCTGTTTGACCATTCCATGCATGTGGAGCAGGAGGAGACCCAGGCATTGTGTGAGCAGAAGACTTGCTCCCAGAGGAGCCGCAGCTACATTCTGCCTCCTGCTGACCATGCTGGGAATCCAATGCTGGACCTTCCCACAGGCAGCCAGAGGCCCAGGGCTGGCAAGAATGGGGAACTGGAGGGAGGAAGCTGGCTCTGCCTCAAGTAGTTTCACCTGGGGACCCTCTAGCCCAGTGGTCGGCAAACTCATTAGTCAACAGAGCCAAATATCAACAGTACAACGATTGAAATTTCTTTTGAGAGCCAAATTTTTTAAACTTATAATGAGGGGTCCTCCTAAGCTGGCCTTTGCTAAAAATGTCCTCAATCTGATTGAGGTATGTTCGCTGAGGTTGACCCCTTCCACCTCTCCCATCCACACTCGTCTTGTATACTTGTTTCGTCTATCTTTTGTTACCCACGCGCGATTTGCAGACTCGACTAGCACTAACCACTGCACATGAGACTGCTGACTGACTGGCTCACTCAACTCATGCATGTATCCCGCAGCCGCATGTGCCGCGTCTCCTGTCGCACAACTAACCGACACCCCCCACTTCTTCTAACGCCACTTCTTCAAAATAGACTCGCACAGGCTGAGAACCGACTTCTGCGCATGGGCCATGAAGTTCCAATCGCACTGTATGTGCGCGCCTGCACATGGTATTTTGTGGAAGAGCCACACTCAAGGGGCCAAAGAGCCGCATGTGGCTCGCGAGCCGCGGTTTGCCGACCACTGCTCTAGCCACTCTAGGGGCGGAGAGATGTTGAGAAGGGAATGATTGGTAAGATCTTGAATCTCACATATAGTTAGGGATTGCCAAGATCTTGCATAAGGCAAAATGTATGAAAATATGATTTTACTTGTGGGTGAACACATTTAGCATATATGTATATGCATATGTACACAAACACATATGCATACAAAGTTGGGAAAGCTATGTAACAAAATATTATCCCTAAGTGTTGGCACTGCAGGTGACTTTACTTCACCTCCTTCTTTCTAAGAGATATGCAATCACTCATCCAAAATTCCCTAACTCAAAAAGCTTTGAAAACCAAAAGACTTTATCTAACTTATTTGGCATCATTACCTGACCTGAGCTGAGGAGAATTCATTTATTCTGCTTGGAGATGAATATTCAAACATTTCCATGCAGAAACATTCTGGTGTTTGATTACGACAGGGGTCCTCAAACTTTTTAAACAGGGGGCCAGTTCCCTGTCCCTCAGACCGTTGGAGGGCCGGACTATACTTTAAAAAAAAAACTATGAACAAATTCCTATGCACACTGCACATATCTTATTTTGAAGTAAAAAAACAAAACAGGAACAAATACAATATTTGTATTTGCATGTGGCCCACGGGCCGTAGTTTGAGGACCCCTGGATTACGAGGTCTGCCACAGACCCCACTGGAGGTGTTACAGAAACAGCATACACACCTGGTGAGTTCTCTAAATTCTGAAAATTTTCTCAATTTCCAAAGCACATTTGGCCCCAAAGGTTCAGATTAAGTGAACTTGTACAAATGTGTTTTTTAAAAAATAATGCAGAGATGAGTAGACAGAATACAGAGCATTACTAGAGCAGTGAAACTACTCTGTGTACTACCACAGTGGATACATTTGTCCAAACCTCTAGAACAGGGGTCCTCAAACTACGGCCTGCGGGCCACATGCAAATACAAATATTGTATTTGTTCCCGTTTTGTTTTTTTACTTCAAAATAAGATATGTGCAGTGTGCATAGGAATTTGTTCATAGTTTTTTTTTTAAAGTATAGTCCGGCCCTCCAACGGTCTGAGGGACAGGGAACTGGCCCCCTGTTTAAAAAGTTTGAGGACCCCTGCTCTAGAATGTAACCAAGGGCGAGCCCAATGTAAACATTTGGAAGTTGTTTACAAAAATGGCCCAGGACTGCCAGAAGCCAGGACTTTGGGTGAGTGTGATGTGTCAATGTAGATACATCAATCAATTATAATAAATGTATCATTTTGATAGGGCATGTTGATAGTCGGGAGGCTATGTATGTGTGGGGACAGGAAGTATATGGAAGCTCCCTGTACCTTCTGCTCAATTTTGCTGTCACTCTAAAACTGCTCTAAAAAATAAAGTCTATTTTAAAAAAGTAGAATGTCCACGTGTCACTTCAAACATATTTTCCATTTCAAAACCAAACAAACTAAAAGCAACACCTTTCCTAGGCCCCTCACGCCCTCTGCTGGCCATCAGGAGAAGCCAGCCTGATCCAGTATCAGGACTAGGGACCAAAAATCCCAAGCCTGCTCCTTGGGGATACCACCCTATTTAGGGATTTATATGATCCAGGCAATTGCCAACCAGAGGGGATCACTTCTCTGCAGGCCTTTTTTCCCCCCAGCTCAAGTGAGAGAAATTCCTGGCAAAATAGGAAGCACAAGGTTTGGAGGCCAAAAGCTCTTGGTTCCAACCTCAGCTCTGTCACTCACTCGCAGCAGGATTTTGGGTAAGCTACCTGAACATTCCAAGCCTCAGTTTCCTATCAAATGGGGATTATGGGATATACCTGAAAGAACTGTCAAGACGATCAGAGGAGCTTCAGAGCCAGGAAAGGCTTTGTAAATATTGTACCATATACTGGGGAGGTGGTCACCAGTCAGAGAAGAAGGGGTGAGACCAACACAGACAGAGATAATGTACACCTGAGAGACCCTCAGAAAGTCCCTGGTGAGTGGCTGGACAGGAGGGGATGAAGAGGGGGCAAAAAGGGAATACCCAGCAGCCCCACAACCAGGGCCCACACCCCGGGAAGGTATGGCTGGCTGGCTTTCCAGAGATGACAAAGGCACTGGGAAGCCCTTAATGGGCTTCCATGGGAAGCACAAAGACTCTTGTTTGTGCACAACATTCCAGCAGTCCAGGTGCCCCTCCTGCCCCAGAGGCTATGGACTAGCACATTCCAACCAGTCCCCCAAATCCATCCCTGCCCCATGGGGTCAGCCATCTCCCAGCTGGGGGTCTCCAGCAGAGCAGCTGCAACTATAGCTATAGCCTGAGACTGGACTGGACAGAAGTTCTAAAAAAGAAAGGCACCCACCAACTGCCTGCCCTAAGTGTGTGGGGAAAGGAGATCAAAGGGGATGAGAAGGCTTCCTATTTATTTATCCAGTAAAGGGTTACCAGGCAGCTGCTAAGTCAGACCTTGGGCTGGCAAGGAGGCCAGAGAAATGAATCAGACTTGCTCTCTACCCTCCATCAGCTCACAAACTGCGCGAGGGGCAGGGAAACAGGCAGTGACTACACACAAGTGTGAGCAGGACTGTGAAAGAGATGAACACAGGGATGCTAGAGAACATGGAGGAAGTGACCTGGCTAGTCATTAAGGCTGGCATCCGAGAGGAGGTTCCACCTGAGCAAAGGATTAAAACACCAAGACCTCCAGAAAAGCTTGTGAATTGGATAAGAAATCACTTCTGCCACAAAGCACCAGGGAGGCCACAGGCCAGCAATGAGTTCAGCCGAGCTCAAGTCCTGGGTAGGGCTATGAAGGTAAGCAGGGCAGGGCCAGGAAGAAAGATGAACTCATATTAGCCAAATGCCTGCCTCATGCCAGGTGCCAGATGCAGAAGGTGACCTCTTAATTGTACCACAGCCCAGATGGCAGGAAGCATTATCCTCATTTTATGAAGGCAGAAAAGAGCTGGGGTTTGGGCACCAACAAGGCCTAGTATAGAAGCAACAGGGGAGGCCTCATGAGCCATAGCATGGAGACAAACTTAGCAGGCCATGCTGGGGAAAGCCTGTTTTATCCCTAAACATGAAGGAGGCCTGAGCATTCCCTTTGCACAAGCAGGGCTTTAGTCCTAGGCAGCCAGTGTGGCATCTGTGCCTGGATGTGGAGGCCTAGCCACTAACCACCCACTGGCTTTGGCACCAGCAGACTTAAGATCCTGGGCTCTGGCTGAAACCCTTTTCTCTCTCTCCCTGTGGGGAGAGAAAATAGGAGATCCTGGTCCTGAGTTCTAGAAAGAGTTTATACAGTCCCAGGAGCTCATAGCAAAGTCTGTTCCTTATCCCAGCTGGACAGGAGCCTCCAAAAAAGGTGCCAACTTGGAAGTTGCTTAGGAAAATGGCCCGGAAGGACAGGCTGGTGGGAGTGAGGGGCAGAGGGTGGGGGCTGGCCCAGCCATAGAGAAGTTTACACTACATTAATGTCCTGGCCCAAGGAAGTCAAGTCCAGACCCTCAATCTTGCAAGCCCACTAATAAGCCTGTGGGCAAGTCCATCCACATCTCTGAGCCTCCACAAAGGTGCTGGGCAAAACCCTCTGACAACAGGGGATCCCAGGTGTAAGACTCTGCAACCTACTGCTACATAGACCCAAGAAAAGTTGCAAAATACTGTGGGACCCAACTGACTTAGGTTCCAATCCAGCTCCAATTATTAGCCATGTGATGACCTGCTCTGAGCCAGTTTTCCAATCTGTGAAATGGGATAACAAGTCTCCCAATAACAGGGATACTGAGAAGACTCAAATATTACAGGACTCTGTCCAGTAGGAGAGCACTTAATTTGTTCCTATCCCCTCCCTGGAAGGGAAACAAGAACACCCCTGTAGTAGGCTGAATTAAGAGTCGCCCAAACATATCAGGCCCTAATCCCTGGAACCTGTAAATGTCACTTTATAAGGAAAAATGGTATTTGCAGGTATAATTAAGTTAAGGATCGTGAGATGCAGAGATGGGACCTAAATGCAATCACAAATGGCCTTAGAACAGTAGAGCAGTGATGGCGAACCTATGACACGCATGTCAGAGGTGACACGCAAACTCATTTTTTTGGTTGATTTTT